GCTACAAGCTGGATCACCAGGTATTTATTATACATTTACACCGACAGTAGAGATGTATTTTGGGATTTGAGTCTGGACCTGGACTGAGGAACATTTCAGTTTTTGGGTTTACATTTACTTTAAGTGAACAGTCTTCACCCCCCTTAGTATCTCAGCTCCAGTCAGTGCAGCTTCTTCCTTCGGTTTGTCGCATTTCCTGCTGATAATAGAAATATATCTGATCACATCATCAGCCATCATCCCAACTGTGGCAGCCATTGACCTGGAACAAGTACTCCGCCCTTGAACCCATAACTTCCTGTCTCCACGCACTCCAGCGATGGCTGCCTGGCGGGTTTTCTTCACGATGACCACGCCTGCGCAATGTGCGTTGAAACAGCAACTTGTAGTCCCCATCAGAAGCCCATATGACAGGGTGACAACGCAGGAAACGGGCACAGTGTGTTGTCACCCTATAACAGGAAGTGCCTAAAGAAGGACCTTCGTGGAATACCTGGGACAATTTTAATGAAATTTGCTCAGCTACATATATCGAAAACTACATTGTAAGCTACATAAGCATGTTATAGCTTAAATGAGGTTTTGGTGAGTGTACATCTGCTTTGACTAGTGAAGTATGATACAATTAATACTTTGGGGACTATTTATATAAAAAAAATCAGATTCTTCCTATTTATAAAAGTTCGTTTTGGTTGAATGCAGCCCAAAACAAATGTTCTTAATATTTGTTTCCCCAGCTCGAATTCAGTGTGTTGTAATACCACAATATGGCCACTAGATGGCGCTCAGAAGCAGAAGTATTTATTCCCGGTGCTCATCAGCTCCATCTAGTGGCCATAAAGTGGTATTACAGCACACTGCATTCGAACCGGGGGAAAAGTTATATTAAGACCATTGGCTTGCGGCATTATTTGGCCAAAAGGAATGTTCACAGATATTCGCAGGATGAAGGACCCTGCAGGTTCTTTATATGTAGACCCCTTAGTGTATGAGTCCCGGAGTGAAAATGTATTTCCTTTACAAGATTTAGAAGGTTCCGGTCACGAAAAACTGATTCACAAGAACGAATCATGAACGGCGTTGCCAACTTTGGTCGAGTTATCATCCAATAGGACTTGCCAATGAGGGATGACCTTCGGGATTGAGGTGACCACGTGTTCAACCCAAAGTGAAGCTGTTCACACCGAATGGGCGAAGGATTTGGCAGCTCGCCAACACACCGTCTGCGTCCTGGAAGCCAATGATGGTGCGTGGGGCCACACCACGATTGGGTGAATGGTGGCGGGCAACCAATGATTTTCACCGAAGCCAGCCAGGAATCCGGGTTCAGTAAATATCATTGGTTGACGTCCACCATTCAACCAATGCTGCGTCCAAGCACAATGGAACCCAAGCCAGTTCAATCTCTGCTCCTCACCGGCGACAAGATGATTGGTAGGCGAGAAGGCGTCCCATATTGTTCCTCCAATTTTAATAGTTCATCAGGAAAAGGTAAAATAGTATTTTTGGATGTTTACGAGACCAAAAGAACATCATAAGAAGGCGAGAAGACCAGAAAACGTGGACTCGTGAACAAGGTGCCGTCAGGTTTGTTTGGGTGAAACAAACTGTTCAGCTAGTGCGGCCACGCCCACCATCCGGATACCAATCAAGGTCATCGATCAACTCGGCCATCTCAGGCTCCATCTCCTTGCGTTGCTGCTCAACAAAGTCATGTGATCACAGTGGGGTGGCGTCTGTTCAGCAGCTGAAGCCATTGATGATCATCAGGTCAAGCAAGGACACAATGATCACATGGCTTGTGTTTATAAACATACGTCATGTGATCACAAGGTTCCCGCCTGACCTGATGATCATCAAAGACTTTGTTCATAGAAAGCCACGGTCCCCATCTTTCACATCAGAGCCCCCCCTTCACATCACGGTCCCCATCTTTCACATCAGAGCCCCCCCTTCACATCACGGTCCCCATCTTTCACATCAGAGCCCCCCCTTCACATCACGGTCCCCATCTTTCACATCAGAGCCCCCCCTTCACATCACGGTCCCCATCTTTCACATCAGAGCCCCCCCTTCACATCACGGTCCCCATCTTTCACATCAGAGCCCCCCCTTCACATCACGGTCCCCATCTTTCACATCAGAGCCCCCCCTTCACATCACGGTCCCCATCTTTCACATCAGAGCCCCCCCTTCACATCACGGTCCCCATCTTTCACATCAGAGCCCCCCCTTCACATCACGGTCCCCATCTTTCACATCAGAGCCCCCCCTTCACATCACGGTCCCCATCTTTCACATCAGAGCCCCCCCTTCACATCACGGTCCCCATCTTTCACATCAGAGCCCCCCCTTCACATCACGGTCCCCATCTTTCACATCAGAGCCCCCCCTTCACATCACGGTCCCCATCTTTCACATCAGAGCCCCCCCTTCACATCACGGTCCCCATCTTTCACATCAGAGCCCCCCCTTCACATCACGGTCCCCATCTTTCACATCAGAGCCCCCCCTTCACATCACGGTCCCCATCTTTCACATCAGAGCCCCCCCTTCACATCACGGTCCCCATCTTTCACATCAGAGCCCCCCCTTCACATCACGGTCCCCATCTTTCACATCAGAGCCCCCCCTTCACATCACGGTCCCCATCTTTCACATCAGAGCCCCCCCTTCACATCACGGTCCCCATCTTTCACATCAGAGCCCCCCCTTCACATCACGGTCCCCATCTTTCACATCAGAGCCCCCCCTTCACATCACGGTCCCCATCTTTCACATCAGAGCCCCCCCTTCACATCACGGTCCCCATCTTTCACATCAGAGCCCCCCCTTCACATCACGGTCCCCATCTTTCACATCAGAGCCCCCCCTTCACATCACGGTCCCCATCTTTCACATCAGAGCCCCCCCTTCACATCACGGTCCCCATCTTTCACATCAGAGCCCCCCCTTCACATCACGGTCCCCATCTTTCACATCAGAGCCCCCCCCCTTCACATCACGGTCCCCATCTTTAACATCAGGGCCCCCCTTCACATCACGGTCCCCATCTTTCACATCAGAGCACCTCCTGTGAGCCCACCGTCCCCAAGTACCGCACAC